CTGCAACTAGTGTTATTGTGATGTAGTATTGATTGTGTTAATGGCTCATTAATATCCGTCTGTCCGTCCATCCAATCCAAATGTAGTACTCTTCTCCGTTAAACCAGTTATGCTCTTGAAAAAAAAAATGATCTGAAAAGTGACGGACGCGGACGGACGGATGGACGGACAGTGGTTGGGGGAGATGCGGGCAGGCGGAAAGGCCAACTATCGTCAATTCGTCTTAATTAGGATGTGTGGGGATGATACGAACGTGAATTACAACTTTATCGTGGGACGCCGACGTCGGGTCCGACCTTGAGGAACAGTATATTTACTTTCTATTGCAGATCTTTGAATGCTAGATAGAGTAACAAAAACAGTTTCAACTGGTTGGGTGAAATTAAACCTAGTTTCTCCGAGGCACGCCTACATGTTTATTTGCGGGCGTAACTTCATTATGAAAAAATAAACAAACATAAATGATAAAACGCAACATGTAACAATGCAATTAACAAATGAAACATCGGGCGAATCCACGTTACCAATAACATAAACCCAAACGTTATTGACTATATTCTGCTCATCTCTTGTATACCATTTCCAAGAAACGCCACCCATCGCCTTCTTTAATCCTCTTGGTTCGTAACGTGCATATTATTAAACCAATAGCATGACGGTATTACATAGTGTTCTGTTTACTTACTTTATATTCAGTCTTTTTTGTCTTTGCTTTTTAAACTCGACGTTTGACAAACCAGTCCAACTGCTGCTACTTTCCGTCAATCTGGTAAAACACATTTACGCCGCTCGCCATTTTTCAAACGCAGATTGGCGGAGATGGAAATTCCACCGCTCACTGGTCCGACTGCCGTAGTTTGATAATCATGAGATAAACCGGAATGTGAAATACAAGTTGAGACATTTTCATTATTCATCATTGTATTTGTGCTTAGGTCATCCGTCCACTGGGGATCAGCGCACTGCTCTCTCGAAAGCGGTTAATCCAATCAAATTGTGATTTATAATCGTTTTTGGGCTTGATTCATTCACCAAAGGCGCACAGTCATGTTTGGTAAAAGACAATGCAAACATCGTATGTATAGTGACCAAAGTGTCAGAAATATGTACTGAGCCACAGTGTGTTACTATTGTAATTGGGGCTATTGCATTGGGGCAATCGGGCAGAACGAATGGTTTTATTGAGCACGCCTTTTTTTAGTGACAACAGCCATTACTCGACGAATCGCTGCATACTGCATTTCAACAAAAACAGAGAACAAACGAAAAGCTTGTCTTCGATCGA